AAATAAGAACATAAAATGGGAGTGGTTCACAAGATGGAGACACTTCTGCTCAGACACCTGACATCGGGACATGCTGAAAGCAGACCTGCACCTGGCTGTGACCAGCAACACCCTGGGAACAGGCAGCTTCCACCAATCAGGAGGAGCAGGAGCCAAAAAGTTTGCAGGGACAAAACAAGCCTCAGAAGGGTCCTTAAGCCCAGGCTCTAGGCAGCTCAGCAAAGGACGGTCTCCAACATACCTCAATAAACACAAGCCACGTACGCAAGCAACAAGGGACCCTTCTAGTGGCCATGCCTCCCACCAGGATCTTCTGCCTCTGGCTTGGCTCTAACCTTGGTGACCATTGAGTATCTAGCACCCTGGTAGTGGCACATGTCTTTAATCCCAGCACTGGAGAGGGAGAGGCAAAGAGATTCTGTGAGTTCCAGGCCAGCTTGTTCTACACAGAGTTCTAGGACATCCTGGACTAAATAGAGAGACCCTGTCTCAAAAACAAAACAAATAAATAAACAAAAAAAAATCTTAAGAAGCTGGAGAGATAGTTCAGTGGTTAAGAACACAGGCTGCTCTTACAAAGGACCCCAATTCGGTTCCTAGTACCTACAAAGCCGCTCATAAACATCTTTAACTCTAGGTTCTTCTGGGTTCTGTCAGCACCAGGCATGCACCAGGCATGCACGTGGTGCACAGACATGCAGGCAAAACACTCATGTATAATAAAATTAATATTTTTAAGTTAAAACAAAAATCAGCCAGGCGGTGGTGGCGCACTCCTTTAATCCCAGCACTTGGGGGGCAGAGGCAGGAGGATTTCTGTGAGTTCGAAGTTCCTTTGGGTACCCGGAGGAACTGAGGAAGGGAGGGGCTGCAGCACCACGGCCAAGGAGAGCTGAACCCCGCCTTCAGACTCACTAGGCTGGAGGCCCGGCCCTCGGGCTGCCCCGGCGCCTCCTGGGAGATGCAATCCCACGCGCGCTCCCAGAGGCCTGTGCGCGAGCAGGTGCCAACGGTGCCAACGACGCCAACGGTGCCGAGGGAGCGGCCGTGTCCTGCTGAGCCGCCGAGGGATCAGGCTAGCCCGAGGCGGGCCGCGCAGCACCGCGTCCCCCGCCACCGTGGCAGTGGTTTACCGTTGGTGAGTGCCTCTCTCCTCTCCAGGTCCAACCTCCTTGACCTCCTACCATCCTAGCGGTGCCTGTAGCTGCCTAGGTTGGTAGCCACACGGTGAACCTTCCCCGTGGACTGCCACCCCGGAAGCTCCAGCTTTCTTTCCTATCCCCCTACCTAGGAAGCTTATTCTCAAGCCTCCCCAACCCTGGCCCCCCTCCAGAGCAAGCCAGCCCCCACTCCCCCCCCCCCCGCAATAACCCCCCGAAGTGGGGGAACTAGAAGCTTAGTGCAGGTAACTTGCCCTTGTCCTTCCATTGCAGGATCTGAGCTGCCACTCACTGGGCAGCGCCTTAGCTGCTGTATTCACCATGCTGAGGGAGGCAGTGGACATCCTGCCCAGAGAAGCAGGACGCCCACAGGAGCGTGCCCACCCTCACCAAGGTGAGTGCTCTGGGGGAGGAGGGCCAAGCTAAAAAACCTGGGAATGGGAGGCCAAACGCCCTTCCTTCCTGTTCTGCCCCACAAACACACCCCCTACACCCCTGTGCTCCCGGCACCCCTGTGCTCCCGGACAGTTTCTGCTGGTCCTAACTGGTAGTTGAGGAGGAGCCACCCAGTTCACAGAGCTGAGAGCCAGCCCTGGGCAGCGCTCTTACAGAGGGACATGGAGGATGCCGCACAAAGGAGGGAGAGAGAAATACCATTCATTGCCTGTGGGATGGAATCGAAAAGTTTCGGGGCTGGCCTTGAGCCCAAACTCCTGTTTGTTTTCTAGCTAAGGATGTGGTGGGAACTTGAAATCTGAGACTTCCAGAAGATCCTGGCCACCAGCTGGTGCCTCGCACAGAAACCCCCGCAGGTCCTGCCAGCACCAGACCTTTGCTCTTTCTCCTGTGGCTTTGCCTTGGCTCAAGACCCATCTGCACCAGTGCTCTGGTCCCTGGGAGCTCTTTTGGAGGCCTGGCTGTCCCTGGGCTCTGCAAGAGCAGACAAGATGTGGGTCTTGTTGGGCCCCGGTCAGTCCTGACCTGGGAGGAGAAGACTGGAGTCTGTATATCTGACTTAGAGATGCTGTGAAGAAATCACTGGAGATAGCCTGTGTCCCCTTGTAACTAGGAGGAGTTTCAGCAGGAAATTCAGCCTAGCCCTGGGGGCCACAGCCTCTGCCTGATGAATGTAATTTCAAAGGGGATGATACTTCCCAAGCATCAGTGTGTCAGACACAAGGCCAGGACAGAGAGTTAATAAGCATGGTGAGAGTGGAGAAAAAGCTGAGATGTCTTCCAACAGGCAGGCCCTGGGGAAGGCTGCCTGAAGGAAGAGGTAGCCCACGAATCCTGCAGGACGTGGAGGACAGAGGACTGGGTTTGCCTTTCAGAACCCAGTGGTCTGATTTCCACAGAAAATTCCTATAGTAATTGGATCCCTGAGATCCCCCAACATGGGAGGGAAATGGGGGTGTGGGAAAGGGTAGCATAAAGCTTCTCCTTGGAGGGCGTTGGGCTGTGCCAGTAGGGCACAGCTAAGTTGTCTTCTGTGATCCCACTGACTCGCCTCTCCTCCTTTCCAGCTGGGTGCAGAGCCTGTGCGTGCCGCACCTTGATCTTGTAAGGTTTCCTGGTAGCAGCTTCCTCAGAACTGGAGGGGTAGGCAGACTCCATCCCATCCAGCCATACTCCCTGCTGTCCCTTGGTGGGGGTGCCAGGGGCAGTACCAAAGCAAAGGTGGGGTGTGGTGCTTGTATCCCCTCAGGGGTTCACTCTGTGTAAGAAAACCAGCCAGCAATGTCTGTTGCTGTGTAACAAACTACCCCACAATTTAGCAGCTTAAGCATATTACAGGTTCAGTGGTTTAGGAATCCAAGTGGTTAGTGGTATCTCTGCCTGGTGGTGTCTCACAGGCCACAGCTGTGTGTGCTCAGGCTGTGGTCTCATGTGAAAGCCCAGCCACGAAGTACGGTTGGCAAGATTCAGTTCCTCTCCAACGAAATGCCAAAGGGCCTCATTTTCTGCTTTTTGGCTGGAGGTCTCACTTAGCTCTTAGCATGGGCCTATCCACAGTGCACCTCCCAATGTGACAGGTGCCTCCCACCTGACCAAAGCACGGGAGAGCAAATGAGTTTCCTCTTTATCATCCATCTGACTTCATAAAGGAAATTCTGGGATGTTTGGCTCTTTGTAGGAGTTCAAGCTCATACTTAAAAAGGGAGCAGGTCTATACTGGGGTACATCTACCAGGAAGGGAGAGTCTGTTGAGGGCTACCTCATGGTTCATCTCCACAACTCTTATAGTGTCCTCAACTGTCTTGGACACAATACTGTGTTCAGTATCCTGTGTACTAGTGTCTGACCTTTTAAAGTTCTGTTACATCCTGGTATATGCATGTGGAAGCAGGCACATGCTTGTTAGAGCTCTCTCTGCTCTGTTGACCCCTTTCCAGGGCAGCTAATTTCCTTGAATTTCCCTGTCTGGGTGACATAGAGCTTCCAAGCTGGGTTGCTAGGCTGTCCCTCAAGGAAGAAGCTTAGGCCCTCAGTTGATACTTCAGAGGTCCCTTAGGAATAGACTGGGAGAAATGATGGATAAGCATGGGGAGAAGTCAGCCTTGGTGCCCTTGTCTGTATCCACAGGGGCCATACAGATAAGGCTTGAGCACAGCAGAGCCCGTATCTCGGTAGAGCACCTCTCAGCCCTCCTAGACAAGGTCACGTACTCTCACCTCCCTGCGGTCCCTGAAGGTTCTCTAAGGCTTTGATGAGCCATTGGTTCTGCAACACTGTTCCATCATACCATGGCAATCTTTGATGTTTCCCGCCTCCAAGTTCATGCGGAGCTGGCACCCTTGGCTGTTTGTCTATATAAGTAATAAACCTCAATCTATGAAGGACTGTTTGTACGGGGATGGAACCTGGGTTGTTACACATGAGAAACAGTATCCACTGTCGCCTTGTTATACCGCTACCCTGGGCTGATACCTCTTTATAAGGAATCTCAGCCCCCACCTTGCCCTGTGCTTGATAAAATGAAAAACTGGAGCATAAGAAGACCTTCTGAACCTCCTCTTGCTCAGTGTAAAATTCCTTTCTGCCTTTGTCCCCCTGCTCTTTTGGATATTTGAACCAGAATCACCCTGGCCAGCTCCCCGATAGGCCAGCATGTGAAAATGACAATGGAACTGTCTTCTGTTCCGCATGCATACAACAAAGTTGACATTACCTGTATGTATACAGAATGTACCATTCTGTGCAAGACCTAGCCACTCCACATAGGTCAACCCGAGCACTGGAAAACACAGTAATCATTTGTTGCTAGAAGTAAAATAGAACAGCTATTGTGGGGAATTCAGTGGTTTCTCAGTACACAGAATTACCATGTGACCCATGTGGCAATCCTAGGCATATGAGAGCTGTAACAATGCAACAGCTGTATCCACAAGCAGAACTGCCAGCATCCCAAAGGTGGAAGCAACTTGAGTGTGAACTCTCAACAGGTGAACCCTCGAAATAAAAAGATACAAGCCAACAGGACCAGTCAGTTACAATGGGACATTATTCATCCATGGTGGAGAATGAAGCTCAGACATAAGTACACATGAATGACTCTTGGGGGAAAAACCACTAAATGAAATGCAGAATAGTGTAGGATTCCACTTACATGAAGTGCCCAAAAGGCAAACTCACAGAGGCAGAGGAATAGGAAAACTCAAATCAATGGAGGTAATCCAGAGCGGTTGTAGGGAGTGGGGTGTGAATATAACCAAAATACATTCTATGCATATCTGAAATTCTCAAAAGCACTAAAAGGAAAATATGAAGACAGTTTTGGAACTAAAGGCAGTGGGACCCAGGACCCAGGAGTGTAGAGACAATAAATGAGGCAGACTAAAGTCCCATGCAGTAGCCAACTTTATTCAGAGCATCAATTCTGAGGATTAAGAATAATGTGTAAAGTATACAATCACAAGGACAAGCTGCACTTGGCAAAAATGTTTTTCCATAGAGGCATATAAGCATTTAATTGAATGACAGCAGCAAGCAATAATGAGAAATCTGAAATAAACTCATTCCTATCTGCTACACCTGGGAAGAGCATAAAACTATATTCCAAGAATAATTCTGTTTTGAAGAAACTGAGCTCACAAGGCTCTTGTTTTCTTGGGGTTTTCTCGAAGGACTCCATCCTTTGACCGTGTTTCTACAGTGATGGTTTGAGACATGATTGTGCTTAGCGTCATGATTGCACATTAAATATGGTTGAACTTGTAACTTGGTGGCGGTGTGCAAGACAGGGTTTCTCTATGTAACAGCTCTGGCCATCCTACAACTCGCTTTGTAACCAGGCTGGGCTCAAATTCATATTATTCCACCTATTCAGTTCAAGGCCAGGCAAATTCCATGGTAGAGTGCTAACTGTGATCTCCTTCCGAGGTCATGACTGAAATGGCTTCTATGTGTGCAAAGTGCTCTGAATTTTCTTTTCTGAATCTTTGTTATATGGCTGTGTTTGGCCTGTGAAAGTCACTCAGCTTTATAATTATGATTCATGCACTTTTCTGTAATTAGAGTTTGACTAACTCAAAGTTTACTAACCACACACCTGTTAGAATGGTTAAAACCCAGAATACTGAGAACAAATGATGGCGCAGATACGGGGGGGGGGGGGGGGGGGGGGCAGGCACTCCTATTCCCTGATGGTGGGGATGTAAAATGCAACAGCCATGTTGGAATGCACTGATGACTCCTCCCAAAACTAGATATACTTGCACTATATAATCCAACAAATGCACTCTTGTTGTCTGGTCAGAAGCAGAAAACTTAAGTACACACAAATATCTGCACATGGACATTTTGATGGTTGACACTGAGGGTCAACTTGACTGGATTAAGGGATGTCCACAAAATTAGTAAAACATATCGTGTTCTGAAGCAATTAGATCATGAGGCTCTGAGCTAGTGAATGGTTTAACCCTGTGGCAGGTTCAACATTTTAAGAGATCGTTGGCAGGGGGTGGCGTGGTGGAAAATGGAAACTGGAGAAAATAGGTCACTGGGGGCTTGTCCTCTGGGATTATATCTTTCCCCGGTTCTTTCCTGTTGATGTTCCGCTCTGCTTGTTCACTGTGAAGTGAAAACCTCCTCTACTACACACTCCCATTGACATGCCTTTCTTCTGCCCAAGCAACAGACTAAAGGAAAGATGGAGTAGAGAAAATAGAATCTGTCAGGGACTTGAGGTGCTCTGATCACCCATAAACTATTCTAGGGATTACTGGAGCCCAGAGATCTAAAGATAGTAGGAAAATGAACAAGTCATGTCCAAAAGGGTAGCAATTCAAGCCTGGTGTGGATGAGATTATGAAGGGAAAGAGAAAAGAGAACTTAAGATCAAGTCAGAATTCCAATTGCCAGGAGTGGTGACACAGACCTATAATCCTACCACTGGGGAAGTAGAGGCATTGTGACTTCAAGACCAGTCTGGTGTACCTAGCAAGTTCTTGTCTCCACAAAAGAAGATAATTCCATCAAATAACAGCGAGATAGAAGTTGAGCCTGTAAACAAGGAGAAATGGAGCAGTGAATAGGAATAAAACCTGGAGAGACGTCTATACATATAAGGGAAAGACAGGCCAAGTGGCAATTCTGCCAGAGTTCATGTGGGATGATGACCATTTGCAGGAGTGGGAAGTCACCAGCAAGCTCAGCCAGAGCTGCTTTGCAGAGATAGTGGGTGATGTCAAGTTGGGGTGGGCTGAGAAGTGGGTGAGAGGTGAGGACAAGAGACAAAGTGCTGTTACTTCAAAATCCTTCAGCTGGAGAAGGTGCTTCTGTCTGAGAGCAGTGAAGACTTCAGTGGCCTGGAGGCTGCTGGGCAGATCCACCTATCACAGCCAGAGAATAGCCGGAACAGATTTGCAGTGGAGCCATGACTTATGTTGCCTGCTGCACCAAGCGAGTCCACACAAGACGGGAAACACAGGTAAGGGGTTGTTGGGAAAAGACTGGTAGGATCTGGATGTGTAGTCAATTGATTTGAGGGTATGTTTAGGGAAGTGAGGTCTTTCGTGTGTTGTATGTCAGGAAGAGGTGGTAATTCTATGGCTGGATCTTTTCTGAGACAAAACACACAGAGGACAAACTTGTAATTGGTAAAGCAGCAGCAGTTTTGGTGGCTGAGATGAGGGATGTTTGATATTTTTGTGGCTTGGACTGTCTTCTCTGGTCTCTATCCCAGTGGAACATCGGAGATTCATCCTGCTCCGGGTCGGTCGGAGGCTGCTTTGCCTGCTCAATCACACTGGGAACAGCGGACAGGTGCGGACCTGCCTCCCCTCGTCCGGCATCCTCCAGCGTTCCGCTCCTGACACCCTGGTCACAGCACACGAGACCGCGCCAGTGCAAAGATGACTGCCACTGTCTTCTTTGGGACCAAAAGCCGGTTTGGACGTCAGGCTCGGCCCCACTACTCCGCTCCTCCCGGGAAACGCCATATCAACAAGTCACGGGATCGGGTGCCCAGGCCAGGAGCGCTTGTGCGCTTGCGCAGCCCAACCCCGCCCCCGCGCTTAGCACTCTGGGTCGGCGGCTGCGCGGCGCGCGATTGGCAGGGTCTCGCGCGGTGACTGACGGCGCCGCCGCCGCCGCCGCCGCCGCCGCCGCCCAGGGTAGCGCGGAGCCTCCGCTCCACCGCCCGCCGCCATGGACCTGTTCGGGGACCTGCCGGAGCCCGAGCGCGCGCCGCGCCCGCCTGCCGGTAAGCGGCGCGGGGAAGAGGGCGGCGCCGGGGTGCGCGGCCTCCGCCATCTTCGCGCCACTGCCGCCTCAGCCTCGGCCTGTGCCTCCCGGGGCCGCAGCGACCGCGCGGTCTGGGTCCCGGCCTCTCGTGGCCCACGCACGAAGCCCCGCGCCGACAGGTCGGGACACCCTGGGTTTAATTTAGCCACAGCAAGACTCCCAGCCGGGTGCTCTGGTCCCGGGCCGAACTGCGTGCTGGAAACCCCGAGAACTTAGAGAACAAGTTTCGACTCCCGGTTCCTCGGTGCGGGACTTGCACGGTCAATGCAGGGCGGTGTGGCCGACCAGCTCGGGAGGCGTATGCAGCCCGCGTTTGGGGAACGTCTTTGGCAGGGAATAGGAAGGTGGAGAGGACCAACGTTTGCCTTCAGAGCGTTCAGTTCTGATCTTAAGTGAAGATTATAAACCGTGGGAATCGCTAAGTACCCAGTGGAACGGTACCTGAAGTCTAGTGAGAGAGACTGGGGAAAGGCGGCTTTTAGTGAGGGCTTCCCGAGATGGTTGCAGAGATTCTAGACAAGGAAACAATATGTTCAGAAGGGGCCAGGGCTCAGATCTCCAGCTTGCCGGAGCGTGGCGGCCTAGCATGGGAGAGTGCTGGGGTTTGGGGTCATGAGAAGGTATTGTTCTGTCCTCTTCAGGGCCTGTGTATTGGCTTCTCACCTGCGCATCTCCAGACTTTATTGAGATGCTTTGTAGTGTCATCTTTTTGCAGTTGCTTCTAGTAGTGGTAGAGTTACTTGCTCCCACCAACCACTCTGATAGTAACAGGAGCTTCTAAATAACTACGCCTTGAGGCTGTGAATTTGACCCAGACATTCTTTTTGAAGATAACCACCGTTAGAGTTTTGAATAAAGCTGACTTTATACGGGTAGTCTTACGTCTTTCACACGAGTATAACCTGTATCTGAATGTGCTTTGGGCAGAGTTTGGATTACCAGGTGTCCCTGGAAATCTGTCATCATTGTAGTCCCTATTGCTTTTCATCCAAAATTAATTTGAGTCTTCTCCGAGGTCAAGGCTCTCTTGACATGACATAAAACCTTACAACTCCTTATTAAAACTTGGGATTTAGCAGATGGAATGCAGAGGGCCCAGGCTGACCTGCTTGTATAGAGGCAGTGGGGTATTTAAGATTCTTTACTCCCTAGGAGTGCATTTGGGAAGTGCTTTCTGCTTCCAGGAGGACGCTTTATATGTTACAGTGTATTCTTCAAGTTTTAAAATAAGACAGGCTTTCAGAATTTGTGGAGGACAGGAAGCTGAGGGCTAAATCCTGAAGAGATTGGCAGAATTGAGATTCAAAGTTACTGTAGCAAGCAGTTAAAACAGACTAGATGAGCCTAGCCCTGGTAACACATATGTAACCTCAACACTCACAGAGGCCCAAACAGGAGGATCCTGTGTTCAGGCCAGTCTGGACCACATAATGAGACTTTGTTTCAAAAAACAGCAACAGTACCCACAAAATGGCTACAAAACACCCTAACAAGAGGAAGTTTTGTTTTGTTTTAATGTGTACAAGTGTTTTTGCCTGCATGTATATTTGCATTACCTGTGTGCCTAGTACCTGCAGAGGCCCAGAAGGGCGAAGGAGCCCCTGGAATAGAGTTACAGGTGTGAGCTGCCATTTCTGTGCTGGGAGTTGAACCTAGGTCCTCTGAAAGAGCAGCCAGTGCTCTTAACTGCTGAGTCGTCATCTCTAGCTCCACGATGATGATTTAAATCATCATTAATATGATTTAAATGGTTTAATGTGATTTATGGTTTCTAAAATTGATTTGCATACCATACTATTTACCAGTCTAGCTGGTGGTGGGACCTGGGGAAATGGAGCCAGAAAATGAGGTGAACTAAAGTCTCCTGCAATAGCCAACTTTATTTAGAGCATCAAACAATTTATACTCTGAGGGTTAAGAAGAGTCACATGAGTAAAGTGTACAGTCACAAGGACAAGCTGCACTTGGCAAAAATATGTTTTCCATAAAGGCATAGAAACATTTAATTGGGTAATAGCAGCAAACAATAATGAGAAATCTGGAGCAAAATCATTCCTATTCACTACACCTGGGAGAAGCACGAAAACATTCCAAGAACAATTCTGTGTTTTGAAGGAACTGAGGTCACAAGACTCATGTCTTGTTTTCTTGGTGTTTTCTGACAAGCACTCAGAATTCTCACAGGACTCCATTCTGAGACCTGTTCCAACATCATACTTTGTTTCAGTAAATCGAGGGTTGCTAAGTAGTCAGAAGGACAAGACTAAATTGCATACCCTCATATATGATGGATCAGTGTAACAAATTTTCCAAAATAATACTGGGATCAATAAAAAAAAAATCTAGCCATTTACATGTAGTGTGTGGAAAGTGGAACATAACTGTCTTCAAATCTGGCTTTACACTACCCTTTTGCCTTCAGGAACTATTGGCTTGTATGTATAATAGGTGATGCCTCCTGCAGATATTGTATGGATTAAGAAGTACCAGTATGTTTAATGGAACACATGGCCCAGGTTGGACCACATACTCAGGGCTTTGCAGATGTTGGCTAGTTAACATCTGTGAGATGTGCACTGTAACAGCACTTTAAAACCAGTTGCAATGATTTTGGAGTGTATGGAGGAAGATGATGCCACCACTCAGCACAACAGGCATGTTTTGTTGACTTCTTTGGTTTGGTTTTTTAGTATCAAATCTTATGTTCACACCCACAAGACTTAAATTTTTATGGCCTGTAAGTATGTGTTATATGTTTTCAGATATTGCACTAAATTAGCAGGCTTTATCCCAGGACTTAAAAGATTTTGATAGTTGAGCATATCAATTAAAAGAAAAAAGATCTATCTTTTGCTAAAAGGGATGTTGCTTATTTATATAAGTAGTGGAACTTTTCTCTTAGATCCATAAAATGCTTACGTGGGTTGTTTAGTTATGTAGAGTGGGGTTCACTTGTTTGGTTGTTAACACCTGTATATTTAAAACTCCTGATCAATGTGGAGCTAGAGCATAAAGGTAGAGCACTTACCTAGTATGTGTGAGGCCCTGGGTTCAGATCTGGTACCAAAAAGCAAAAATACCTGATTGTCAGCCTGGGGCTATTGCTCAGTGGTAGAGCACATATTTAGCATGAGAAGTCTTGAGTTCAATCCCCAGCACTTCAAATAAAACTGATGTTTAATTGTTAAGGATTATTTGACAGGCTAACTTAAAAGTGTGTATTTTAGGGACTAGTGTGAAGACACATGTCTGTAATCTCAGCACTCGGAGGCAGAGGCAGGCAGATCTCTATGAGTTTGGGACCGGCCTGGTCTATAGAGTGAGTTCCAAGATAGCCAGGGCAGCACAGAGAAACCCCATAATAATAGTAATAACAATTATTATAATAATAATAATACTAAAGCAATTGAGGAAGAGCCTGGACATCGACTTGTAGCCTTCACACGCACTTATATACATAATGCATGCACACGTGTGCACACACCCACAGAAATGTACAGTACCCATCTCCATGGGTATTTATTTGAAAAGTATTGGAAATACAAATCTAAAATAAAGGTTGAAATATCAGAAGACATATTACTTTAAAACTTAATATATAAGCAAGGTAAAATGCAAGTCATAGAAAGTTAGAGTGAGAAAATAGTACAATATATATTATAAAGGATTAATATATTAATATCTAATGATTGAAAAATCACAGAATTAATAAGACAACCCCTTAGTGCATGCCTTTAATCCCAGCACTTGGAAGGCAGAAGTAGGCAAACCTCTTTGAATTCAAGGCCAGGCTGGTATAGGACTACATAGCAAATTCCAGGACAGTCTGAGTATATAGTGAGATGCCGTATCAAAAACAAAACAAAGTCTCATCATAATATATAATATCCAGTAAACATAGTTCCTGGATATAGATAATGGGGGGGGGTGAGTGATATTAGCTGTGATTAGAAGGGTGCATAGTTTATTTTCTATTAGTGTTATGGATCAGAGTTGCATGTTGTCTGGTGGAAGCTGACAACTGTAGCTCACATACTTTGGTTTCTATTTATTCAAAACAGTGCAAGGTTTTGGCTAATGAAAAGTTCCATAGTATAGTGTTTATGACCCACATCTCTTCCTGGCCTTTTGTCTAAGCTCAAATGTGGTGTTTATAGCTACAGTATATTTTAAAGGATCCAACTACACATGTGTTTGAGTATAGGAAGGGTGGCCAAAGAGGTCCTCATTAGCCTGGGGTTATGTTGTAGGAGAACTGTAAGGTATGATTGGTCTTTGTAAAGTCCAAGGCAGGTGCCCAGCAAGAGTCCACACTGGGGAATCAGCCAGCTGGGTTTGAATCTTCATTCCACTCCTCACAGCCCTCTCATTTGGGGCAGGTATTTGACCTTGGTGTCTCAGCTTCCTCTTTATTGAGTAGTAACAGTATCTTATAGATCTATTATAGTAATCAATTGATTTAAAATATTTAGAACCCTTAGTGCCTTACAAGCAATGAGTGTTTTACAGCTGATCTCAGTTATGGGCAATAAAATGTGAGGTAATCTCACTGTGTTTAATTTAAGTACCTTTGATGGTATTCTACAGTGAGAAAGAACAACATACTTTAATGGTGCAGTTTGAACACTCTCAGTGTTAGGGCTGAAGAGGGGGAACAGGCTTGCATGAACCAGGAAATCTGTGAGGAGTGCCTGAAAGAACTGAAAATACACAT